AGTTTTATTTATTAGTTATATATATATATATATATATATATATATATGTATGTATGTATATATATATGTGTGTGTGTGTGTGTTTATGTGTGTGTGTTTCTGTGTGTCTCTGTTTATATATATATATATATCTAAATATATATTCCTAGATATCTCTCCATTACTATATGATACTTGTGGCAGCGTACTGAGAATAGCCCATACATGCCAATGTATTTAAATTTAAATTTACATACACGTTAACGCTATTTAGGGTTTTTCAGTTATATCTCTTAGTTTATCGTATTCTATTTGGTGTACGCTGATTATTGTGTAGGTTATGCACAATGTCATGTACACATCAGAAGAGGCGGAGGGTCATCGGTTAGCCAATCCGTTTGACACTATCACCGAAGGGATAGGTATCAATCGTCTGACTAACAACTTCAAGGTCAGTGCGCCATCTTTTTCTAGTGTATACATGTGTTATATCTGTGTGTTATATATATATATATGTATTATATATGTACATTTTATGTATGTTTGTTGTTTATGTGTGGTATATATAAGTATCATATGTGCGAGTTATGTATGTATGTTGTATTTGTATGTTATATATGTGTTCTTTGTGTGCTATATATGTGTGTTATAGATGTATGCTATATATTTGTGTTTTATGTGTGTTGTATATGTGTGTTATATGTGTGCTATATAAATGAATTGTTCGACGACGGATTGTTTGCATCTTCCTTGCATCTCCATACCCGTGTACATATCCCTTGATGAAACTCACTGCTGCAAACTTGTTCCCATTTGTATGACCTATCATATTTAGTAAACGCATTGATAAGCGCAGAAGGCAATTGTTCTGTTAGTAGGTGAACGCCGGCTGCTAATATTCTTCCGCATATAAACGTTTTACACTTTCTCAACGCAAGTTCGCCGTCTGATGACTTCGAAGATCCATAAACGCACATGCGCGGTTGTATAGTAGTCTAAACTATACATCAACGTCAAGGTGATAGGTGGGGTTATGTCGGGTGTTAGCAAGGTAAATGCTTGAATCAGTAGTACCTATTCATCGATCCGGCACATACATAAGCGCGGAGCTCTCACCAGGGTTTAAATGTTTGATAGCTCGACTAAGCATACATCTAACTTACAAGTTTTACGTACATTGTTCGATAGGAAGCGATGGTGGACTCTGCATTTCGCGGTACTGATCAAGAGGCAGTACACATGGCCAACTATCTGCTGCGCAATGAGGGTATGGCGTGCTTGTTTTAGAGTGTACAGGACCATAGCAGATGTTCTGTAGTTGTGTGTGATATTTATCACATGTGTCTGGTTATTATTATACCAGCGTTAAGTGGTGGAGTGTGCTATGTTGATAGGGTATATGGCCATGGCAGATGTGTTGTGGTTGTGTGTGCTATTTATTAAATGTGTCTGGTTAATACTATACCAGCGTTCAGTAGTGTAGTGTTCTACAATGATATGGAGTATGGGCCATGTCAGATGTTATGGGGTTGTCTGTTATTGCTATGCCAGCGTTCAGTGGTGAGTGTGTTATGTTGATAGGGTATATGGGCCACGACAGTTTGTGTGTTATTGCCTTTGTGGCTGTGTGATCGGGTGACCAAATCGGTTGTCGTCATCATTGGGCTCGTTGGAGCTACATTCTTCTTTAACATATCTCAGGAGCTGTACTCTGTTTCTGTTTTTCTTTTAATGTGCAGCAAAGTACATGCTTTTAGGGTTTTAGGGTTTAGTCTGATAGCCCACCAAGTGCTGCGTGATATGGTATATGAGCAGAATATCTACGAACAATTGTAGAATCAAGCATACCGACCGATCTCTAGTTTTGTATAGTTGAATTCAATTGGTCATCGATTTATATATATCTACATATGTTGGGCGAGCGACTGTCCAAACACACACTGTGGTATGACTCTGGTTGGATCCAAATATGTTTAAATACCGGCTATAGATTATGAGCACTGCTGCCAAAGGTCCATCGTACTGATGCGACCTATAGCCTACTTGTTATATCCAGGAGTGTGTGTAGGTGTCTCAACTACTGCGTGCTTTGAGTACTTCTCAAATCACGTGTGGGAACGGGGTATATTCTGTACATTCCTGGTGTACGTTTAAACGTCTCATTCGCCATGGATAGTGTGCGCAACCTAACAAAGTGGTATCATATGATAAGTCATGTTTCCTTCAGCTGCTTTGTATCTGGTATGTACGCCGGACTATACGATGTGCCATATACTCTACCCTCACCACACTCCATACATATGTGTAGATTGCCTAGCTCATCCGCTATGAGCTTCATAACTCCCTCCGTCACCCTACCATCTATAAGTCTATTACAACTAAACCGCAAGTCACGCATGCGGACGACCCAATCGCTTCATACTACTGTACAACTGCTTACCCATGTCTAAAAATAGAACCGAAACGCATTGATTGTTACCTACCCACACCACCTCTCAGGCATGTATGTAGGTAGCTCATCTGCCATGAACTGCGTGGGCGCTGTCAAAGCCGCACGTGCGCTCGGGCCCGGCAGTGTTATTGTCACGATACTATGTGACGGAGGGGGTCGACACGCGTCTAAGCTTTACAACCCCGAGTACCTGCGCGCAAACGGCCTGGTTGTATCTCAGTGGGACGCAGCCGACCTCTCCTTTGTGCTGGCGGAATGAGTAGGGTCGGGTGAGCGTCCTATATACAAATCTAGGTACAATGAATAGGTGCAGGGGAGTGTTTTAGTACATACCCGGGTGCAATGAATTGGTGCACAGTACCGGTATGCTCAAGCCAGCCCCACATTTCTGGGGTCAGTTACTATTTATCTAAAACATCGAAACATCAAAATAGGGAGTCATATCACTCTTGACTCGGAGTCTTGAGTTCGCTAGAGGGTTTCGTGGGGTAGATGAAATAACACGCCATCGAACATCCACGCTGGTGTTTAGCGTCACCCGTTTGTCTACCTAACTAGGTTGAATGGTTTTAAACTACACTAAAAAAGATCATATTGGCGTATCATGGTGTACAGATGAAAAGAGCTGATTCTCTCGTCACCTTCTGAAGAAGTAGTTCGATCACAGTGCTTAATCTGTGGTGTCAATTGAACTTACATATATATAGCGGGTATCGCTGAACCTGTAAAACTGTCTAAGGTGGTGATTTGTTACTGGATAAATAGAACTCCCTCTTTTAAACACCTATTTTTAAAGAGGATGGCTACAACAGCAAACCACCTATCATAAATAGGACTGCTCTGAATTCATATGTAGTACATTTTGAAGTGAATATTATTCTAGTCACCGACCGTGTATGACAATTTAGAGCCTTAGTCGAAACGTGTACACAAAGCTTAAAAGAATACTGGTGAACAAAAGTACTCACTGGCCGTGTATGTCAATATAAAGCCTTAGGAGATACACACACGAAAAGTTTGAAAGAATACTAGTGAATAAATTAGTCACAGACCGTGTATGTCAATATAGTAGTATAAACGTTTAGACAAAGCTTAAAAGGCCTTTCTAGCTTCCATCGTGTCTGAATGAGAAGCCAGGTGCATAACAGCCGAGATCAGTTTCACAACAAAAAACATCAGTTCTATATCAACCAATAGGAATTAGATGTCAGCTCACATCAGTTTCATATCAATCAATATCAGTTCTATATCAACCGATATTAATTCTATATTATCCAATATCAGAATAATACCAACCAATATGTCAGTTCTTTACAACCAACATCAGCTCTGTACTATCCAATTACAGCTCTATATCAACAAATATGAGTTCTATGTCAACCAATATCAGTTCTATATCAACTAACATCAGTTCCCTGCCAACTTATATCAGCTCTACATCAACAAATTACACTTCAATATCAACGATTATCAGGTCTGTGTCACAAGTTGTCAACCAATGTCAGTGTAAAATATCTGGCAATATCGCAGTACTGTATCAACCAATATCAATTCTATATCAACCTTCTATATCTTCTATATCAACTAATCAGCTCTATATCAACCAATATCAGTTCTATATCAGCCAATATCAGTTCTATATTAAATAATATCAACTGTATATCAACCAACATTTTTAATATAATCCAATAAAAATTCTTTATCAACATATTCAATTTAAAATATGAGCCAATATCAGTTCTATATCAACCAATATCCGTTTCAAAATCAACCTATATCAGATAGCAGCCAGTATCACGGTATCAGACAGGCTTATTCGTTTCAAGATGGCAGTAGTATACATTCTTATTAACCAAAGGAATCGCTTAGTTATCGACTAGTAGCGTGAGTCAGGTAGTTTCATATCCAATCGGGGCTGGCCAGTACGGACCATTTCCGCCTATTTTTGCCAGTTTTCAGGGTCGTTCGGATATTTACGGTGGCAATTTTTTTTCGGTTTTGGCGGGCGTTCTGCAATATGCACTTTGGTCGGGTGAATGAGCAATTTTTCTCGAACTTTGGGTGGTTGAGCCCTTGTTGTCTAGATACCAATACTCAGTCGAGTATCGCGCCAATTGACCCTGTTGGGAGCCTAAATTTATTTACCAATATATATATTCTATATTCACCAATATCAGCTCTACATTTATCAATATGAGTTCTATACCAACAAGTAGGGGATTAGAAGTTCTTAATTCAACCAATATCAGTATCATAACAGGTTAACAACTTGTGTCAGTTCCATATCCATGAATATCAGCTCTAAATCAATCAATAGCAGATCTATATCAATAACAAAAAATCAATTCTATTCAGGTCAACCAGTTCAAGAAAAATCAACCAATATCAGTTCTATATCAACCAATATCATTCACTATCAGGCAATATCAGTTGTATTCAAGGCTCGCGAAGACTCGCGAAGACTCGCGATTATAGTTCACTTGTTATACTGGCTCAACGTATGTTCTGGTTAAAATACTGTGTATCTGGTATGAGATATATTATCTTCAATCCTATCGGAAAGGAATACTGACATTGGTGCTTCAAACATCGGCTTTATATGTTGCAATGATCGCGATTTTATTTTGCTTTTACGGTGATTCGTGGTATTTCAGACACTTAAAAAAGCATATATGCGTTATGGAAATTCAATATCCCACCGCTAGGTGATATAATCCGTATAAAGGTATAAATCTACGGTGTAATTTTGGTTGTACTCATCTATTCGTGTAGTTAGAATGTGTTTGTAAAAGGATAAATTCGTGAGTTTTAGCGAGCTTCGTGGCTGCTCACGATATCGTGCGAGTTTACAAGAGCGCAGAATACTGAGGTGTGGTCACGAAGAGTGAACATATATGGTGCATATATTGTGATATCTCCTCGTGTACTCATCCGCAGTCACGAGACCTGCAAAGTTATAATCTGTGCACAGCTTGTATATATATTTAAGTATCAACTATTATGTATGGGTGCATGTGATTATACGTATGTATACACCTATTTGTGATCATTGCGACTATGATATGGACTTCACCATCATGTTTATGAATTTGTAACAGATGCTGTATTTCGTGTGCGATGTAAGCAACTATGAAAATTGCAAATTTGTAGTATTAACAATGTCTTAGACGTTATTGTTTTCAGATATCAGACTTGCTCAGCATGTTTTAAATTTTAAGTGTATAGTTGTGATTTATTTGGTTCGAATCCCTGCTTTTATATGCATCGGACTTCTAACTCTTGAGCCGTTGAAAACCACCACGTAAGATGAAAGAGGCACTCACTTGATCTATGATCCAATCCAAAGGCAGCGTCGTCACGTCCTCAACTGAACGTGGCTTCTATCGCAATGTTTGGCCTTGTTTGTTTGAGTTGTACTCCTCCGATATTGGGATGTCCAATTCCCGTTATAGATTGTACATATTGATGATTCTGTACTCCCGGCAATTCTGTTCCAAGATTATTTTCAATCTAAATTAATTCTGCATCCTTCTCAGAGTTTTAGATTCTCTTCTTGGTTGATTCCGGGATAACCCTAGTTGGACATCCTTATGTCCAGCCATGGTTTATGTCCTAGTAAAAGATTCTTGTTTGCTGTGATCAAAAGGCGTATAGTACGTCTGATTCGGACTAACAACACGAAGTATTGTTGTAAGAGGTTGATACTGCATACTTCAATACTACACTCGCTGGTTGCTCAAAACTTTGTTTGCCTATATTCATTTGTATAATTCATCTGTACGGCCATTCTGGCAATTTCGTATACACAGAGAACAATGTCGTCCATTATTATCGATATCGAAACAAAGGATATTCAGACGTTTCCAGCTCAGTCAAGCCAACTTGAACAACGCAGAAATTCGGGTTTATACATAGATGTACATTGATCAGTCATACATATACCTCAGTATTACATGTGATTGTTCAGGTATATATAAAGAAAGTCGCAGTGTAGCATGAATCTGCAATGGCAGTATGCATGTTCTGTTTACTTTGATGTTTCATAACTTTGGATTCAATCTGCCATACCGACCTTTGACTAAGTCATTAAATTAAATCGAGTTAAATGTTTTGCAAAAACTTCGAATACAAGTAGTATTCGACTTTATTGAATGCTTGCTTGGCGAATGTACGTATCGTGGTTGGTTGAAAACCGATAAGATTGATCAACAACGCATTCCGGTATGCATACACCAGCGTATTGATATTCTGTATTAAATTGAATTTGCTTGAGCTATTCTAAGCTCATTGCTCTCAATTGCATCGGCCTCTCGTTTGGCTCAGATGTGTTGAAGCTGTCTTCGTACTTACAATTCTGATACGACACCTCCACCGTATACTCAACAAATGTAGATATGACTACAAGCACCTTCCCGCTGCCATTGTTGGGCGATTGTATGTCGACATCTCCGTTGAGGGTGAGTATTTTGAATGGGAGTCCAATCTCAATCGATGCATACACAACTTGGCATTCTGGGGTCTGGATTATTTGAGCTCTGCGTTACCAAGCGGTAACTGGGCTCAGAAAGCGGTTTCCATATCGTTGTCAGCATTTTGAGACCTTCGCAGGATCGGGATACCTCGAATCTGAAACTGAAGGCCCGCGCATCTTTTCTATAGCGCACATCAATAAAGAGATCCCACGTGTGGGTAGCAATGAAATGTACACACACAGAAAGGGATCTGCAGTAAGCGATTTGAGATACGATCTCAACCATTCTGCAGTTTCGAAGTTAGTCCGCTCGATTGATTTGGAAGTCTAATGACGGAGCTTGTTGTGATGGCTGGAGGATGCATGCAGATCAATGCCATTATGAGGAAATAAGCTAGTGTGCTTAACCCTGCATTGTACATTTACAGTTGCTGCGTCCTCACCACGCTTTACATTACTCTCCCGGTTTGATACATTGTCGCTTTCCGCTGTGTCGTTGTCATCACTGTACAAGTTCTCACTCCGACGAACCTCCCGGGAATCCTGAAGGCTGGTGTTGGCAAATCGGCCAATCATACGACACAAAGATTGTGACTTTTTCTTCTTAGGCATTTTGTCCGAAGTATGAGAAGAAAGCTTAATAGCTTCATGTTATCGATGTTTGCATTAATCTACTTGATAACAGGCCAGGGAAATACAGCACAATGTAACCTTTAGTAAGCTGTCACAAACATCAACTTTCTAATATACGCAGATTACATGTGTGCCTACATGTATCCTGTGCAATCAGTCAAAAAAAAATGATCCACGAAAGATACTGGTCTTGTTGTCAGCATTATTATAGCTTAATATATATCAATGTGTGAGCACTCTAGGATATTAACAGACTTTATTTCACGACGACACACAAGTTTTAGCTCCTACCCAATGGTAGAGGTATTCTGTATTCATCGTCGTAGATTAATGTATCACTCGCCCCCGCGACAGTTCGACAATCTTAACTTCCCTTACATTTTCGCAGAACCACTCCAACAAATACGAAACCTGATATGCATGTAGACATGCAAAAATTTAAATAATACTATATTATCCCTACCTATGATACTAACTTCTGTAGGCTGTGCACTGCAACCAATGATCTCTTGGCGTATTATCCTCTGTAGTATCTAGGGCCCAGAATATCAAAAAGCCAGTCCAAATCCCATAATGTCAGAATCATATATTTTGAGTTTTGGAATTAGGATTCAAATATTCCTTATATTAGAGTCATCGGAAATATTAGCGGTAGAACCGGTATGCTATACCGGGACTCCGCGTGTGAGGGAAGCACTCAAGTAGAAACCCGAATCTAGTGAGTTAGAAAACACAAATAAAGACTCAGTTCGGTTCTCTCTGACCCTTATTTAAAATCCTTTCTTCTTTATTTAAATTTATTTATTCTTCCAAAAACATCAGGATTGGAGTTCACCTTTATCACCTTGTCTTTACCCGTCTAAGACTCCTCCTTTTAAGGTTTTCTTTTACACCGACATCAAAATTTTACATTTTAATCTTTTCAATTTCTACTTTTTTAATAGAAATTGAAAATATTGAAATTATTTATTTTATTTGAGACGGTTTCCTATCGATAATGGGATTAGCATCTATAAATGTCTTTAGCTGCGGAATTACCTACCATTATTCCTTCGTTTTACAAACTCGTCGCGAGAGTGCGGACAACTACAACGAAGAAGCGGTCGACCGAATTTGGAACAACCCAAAAGACGACGGTCAAATTAGTAATGACACGTTTATGTATTGATTCGAGGAAGACAACTCGTTTGAGTACTACAATCGGATACGGTTAGAATCGGGGTTTGTGGAACGGAAGAAACCGGCGCCCGACTATAATTTCAGCAGCGGGGTATCATACGAGGATTCTATCCGAAGGATATTCACACAAAAGAAAATAGGTGCGTTCGTGCCTATGACTTTGTTGCAGGTGTTATAGTGTTTGTTAGTGCTCTCATATGTGTGTTGTGATTTTTAATAAGGTTCAGTATGAAATCGTGCCGCTGACTGCTCTTTATTTTTTAAATTGAAGAATTTCATTGAAAATTCTATTTTTAGAATTTGAGGGAAAATGTTATGAAAGGAGCCCTGAAGTTCAACGTACATCCTGATACGGAAAAGGCGAGCCTGGTAGAGATAGACAATGTAAGTAATCATTCGGATGGATGGGATGAAACGAGACAGTACTTTTTTATTTTTAATAATCAGAGGTAAGGAAAAAGAGCTTGTGTAGTGCGCTCATTGTTAAAATGTAGTGCACAATTCAAATCAATCTTGGTGGAAAAGCCTCGTTTATTACACAGTTCAATATACCAGTTATTAGACTCAAATTAACTTTTCCTAGGCCATTTACCTTAGTTACTATACTATTTACACTGTAACTTCTGTATGCGCACTGCTCGTAATCTTCACCTGTCGTACCCAGCCTTGGAACAAATCCTTCAACAGCCGTTGCCTACATCACATGTTACAAGTCTATTCCTTAAAAGTAACCACATACATTGTGCACACGCTTTCAATGGTACATCAGTCCATATTAGGTCTTGCTCAACGTTGCCCTTCACACCTGACTATTCAGATTCATCCTTCAATCCATCACCATGTTTGAATATGTGCGATGTTACATATGCCCAGCGTGCTCTGTGCTTCTTCTTCATAGCTTATGCATAGGCGTTCCGTCTCTCATACTATTAACCTCATGTCTTTCATACTAAGTGCTATGAACTATCTTAGCGTCGGATATAACAACAATATCCGACATACCGACACCTTACATTCATCCTGACACATTGGTATTAGTTCAAGAGTTTTTAGTAAGCTAATTTATTGTAAACAGTGTTCAGAGTCAGGTTTTTTCTCCATACTCACAAGGAGGAGGGGCCGGCGCCCTGCACACCCCTCAGTAGAAGGAAACGTATGGCCTAGTGCGGTGATCTGGAGCTGGGGTAGTTTCCTGTTCTACTCTCCTTCTCCTCATCTTTTAGCGCCTCGCTGTTTTTGCGGTAGTATCGGTTCTATTGCAACTTAATTCCCTTTCCCATTGCTTCAAGTCTGCACCGCTACATAGTGTAATAAGCCGGGCCTCCACATTAGACTCTATGTATAAACGTACTCTTAAGCAGTACGCAAATTATAAACGTACTCTTAATAGTACGAGGAACTTAAGTTTCTTAAATGTACTCTTAATAGTACGAGGAGCTTAAGTCTCCTAAATGTGCTCTTAATAGCACGAGGAACTTAAGTTTCCTGAAATAGGTTTTAATGGTTTTATTAATTAAACCTTTTCCATTTAAAATATCAGATATTTGGATGAGGCCATTAAAAGGCCTCAGTAAAATACCAAACATAAAAGAGTTGGTCTAGTTCTATTAATAGAGATTTATTTACTTTCCAATTTTATTTATATCTGAATACTTCGGTAGCGAGATGGCTCAACCGAATATAGGTTTCTAGGGACTATTAACGTTACTTAGTTGATCCTCTGATAAGCCAACCAGATGTGCCAGTCTGATGAAGGCTAAGTCGGTAATTCTTGAAAGTGGCAAGCTATTGGTTAAGACAATAACTAAAGACGTCAAGAGTAATTTTTTTTCTTCTAAAGATAGGATTTTATGAGTCTCTCGGATTCGCCCCAGAATAGAGCGACAACGAAACACTAAATAAAATCCCTTCGGCGGAAACAGTACTGAGAGGATTATATATAGGCAATGTCTCAGCTTCACAATCCCTCAGAGTATTGCTGTTTTCACGAGGCAAACCTAACTTTATTGAACGTCTCATTTCGTTCATTTATATCGATATTTACACGATATAGAATTTACCTACACGTTTATTTATTCTAAGGCATTAGTTCGCCTTTATTAGACCGAATCTTATAATAGCATGTTTAAAGCAGTAGCACGAGAAGAACATATGCGCGCGTGGGACGAAAATTATACTGCCCCATGTAAGATTCGGTCTATCAAGGCGATATTAACGCCTTAGAATAAATAAACGCGTAGGTAAATTCTAAATAGTGTGAAAATTTCAAAGTAAATAAACGAAATGTGACTTTTAGTAAAGTTAGGTATGCCTCGTGAAAACAGCAATACTCTGAGGGATTGTGAGGCTGAGACATTGCCTATATATAATCCTCTCAGTACTGCTTCCGCCGAAGGGATTTTATTTAGTGTTTCGTTGTCGCTCTATTAGAGTTCCTATTTATTTTTTTGCGCTGTTACATAAATAATGACTACGTCACTAATTAGGTAACTCAGCACAAATTAATTTTGGAGCCACCACGATCACCGAACTGACTTCTGTACTATTCCATTCAACTATGGTATAGTATTTATAAAAGACTCATATATTCCTACGTTACATATATCTTAATATCCTTCACTTGTTATTTAGTCGAAGTGAAGGTCATTCCAAAACATATACCTATTCATCTATCTCTAGAATGAACGAAGACACTCACACCGCTATCGCCCAACGACTTCAAGGACATTTCAAGTTCAAGAAGAATTCGATCGTACAGGCTACTCAGTTCCGACCGACGGCCCTTCAGGGATTACCTCATAAAGCTCCCACTCGGGAGGACATCAAATCTAGAATTCATCACCGCCCTACAAGACAACGTGCGCCCTGCCAAAACCAATATATCGACCGGGAAAACCAAGAGACTGGTAAATACTGATTTCATCGAGGAATTGATATTTCCACAGGGTGTTTGCTCACAACCTTGCTCACTGAATTCTTGGTACGATACGCAAAAGGACGCTGTTAAAGACGAGTTTTTACGACTAAAGAATTGGTAGAATTTCTCCCTATTCACGTTGAAACAAATCCAAGGTAACGTCATCGACGCTGAACAACGACAGGCGGTAATTATCGGTTTAGTGGTGGAAATCATACAGGATTTCAATATAACCTTGGAACTCAAGAAGATACGAGTATAGAAAGGAAATAACTTCTCAACACTACTATAACATCAGATTTACACGTTCAATCAGTACGATCCTCTTCTACAGAAATTGTACATCACTCAAGTTAAGATAAAACACGAGCTTGCCATGATTACTGCAGCGAAAGGAGGTAAGAACAGACAGAAAAAAAGTGGAAAGGCTCGAGAAGGAGAAGGCCGCCAAGGCAGCAAAAGCAGCAAAAGCAAAACAACAGTAAATCCACGATAGTTCTACGGTCTAGCTAGCCGTAAATAGCTGAGTGTGATTAGCCCCAGAAATTAATTATAATATTAACAAATTACCAGCCACACACCGTTCTACTTAAGAGTACGTTCTAAGTTAAAAAGATGGAGAACGTACGGGGCGTCGCGGAAGATCTGTAATGCCATTCGATACGGAGTGCGATCGGAGTGGGGTCCGGAGAGAAGTTTCGGATGGAAGGTCTGGACAGGCTGCATCAAATAACAAGGAGATCGGATTAAATGATGTCCGCAGATTACAAAGATGACTTCTACGCGCCGGGAGTAGCCGACCCTAATACCTGGCAGTTTCGGGACAGAACAGGGCAGCTCTGGTGCTTCTTAGCGTTGACCATGGAAGCAACGTTTAGCCCCAGATAATTTCGAACACCGTGCGAATGATGTGCAGATCGATAGGTATCCGAATAATTCTATATGCGGGCAACCTGCTGTTGTTAGCAAGTTTGAATCGAATCTACCAGGATCAGGCATTCATCAACAATCTCAACCACGTGTTGGGATTGCAGTTAGCGGAGGGCAAGAGGAAGTGGAAGATAGCAATGCGAGTATTAGAGCATCGAGGAGTTATCATCGATCTAGTCAAAAATCAGATTCAAATAACGAACTTCTTTGGATCGAAAATAGCTCAACTGACGACAACAATTTGCTGAGTAGCATTCAAAATTCAACGCAAAATTCCACTGAAATTATGAACTTCGGGAGGCGTAAGCAGGTGCAGGCTACGATCCCATCGTCTGTGAAAGGCGTGTAGTTCCTTGATCGCTTCTTGATGAGCTAAATTATGGTATAACTGCTCGGGAAAAAATCCTTGTTGCTCGCTGGAAATATACCCCAGTTCTGATTCGTGATCTCACTGTCGAAGTAAACCAAATTCAGCTTCCCTGTTAAATAAGCCTAAACCCTAAAACATTTTGACACATAGCTGCGAGATGTCTGAGCTGTGAATTCATAAGTTTGGAAGGACTGTGCCTCTTTCTCAGACTGTGCATGGCTGTAGGAGAGTCGGTCATCACCTACAGGGAGTTGCTGTAATTCGCCCTTGCGAATAAAAAAAAATCAACTCTAGCACTATTGTTCGCAGCTCCAGGACTGAAATAAGCCAGAGGGGTTCTCCCTTGTTCCATGTCCCCGCAAAGTTATAGGTTCCTCTGTCCTTGATGTGGCCCTTCGCAGCAGTGTACTACGATCCATGCCGATGCGTTTCACCATACAGTGGAGGATCTAATTCGACGATGCAATCACGCCTAAACACGGGCGGTTTGACAAGCGGAACAAGTCGCAATTACGATAGATCATTGGAATTCTACCATGACTATTGTACATTGCAAAGCAATTCATCAACAACGCTTTGCACTACTGAGGAGGAGCTGTTGCAGTTTGCTGTCTACAGTTACGATGAAAAGTGACGCTCAACGATTGGTAGGTGACCAGATCCGCATTTCGGAGATGGGTATGAATTAATTCAAAAGAGACATCTGGAGAACGTCTGGGCGCGCATCGCACGGGGTTACACAGTTGAATGGCGCTCGCAACATACGACAGTAACTAATCAACCCAAAGTGCTATCCGAATGGGTGATGTTGTGTACGGTAGCTCGCTGGTACCTGCAACACGCAAGGCTATTTATTTGTGGCTCTTACTAATTTGGTCATCAGTGGGATACCATGTTGGTAGTGCAGGGCTATCACTTGTAATTCGACAGTATTTTTTTTTTGCGAATAAGTTTCAATGTCGTGAAACGGAAGAGAAGCCACACCTCTAGTGGCAACAATTCACCTATTCGCGTGGTGGACGAGGTGATATTCAATTTTCTTTCAATATCTTCGCAATGGAATCCGTAACATCATTGCTGATTCTCGGAAAAAGGGTGATGCCACAGCCATCAGATTACTACGAGCAGATTTCCTACGGGCCGGCCTACCTGCGGACATGCTACCGTACATTCAGTGGCACGCCGCCTTTCGCAGGGGTTTTACTCAGACTTGTTTCAGTCTGGGAGTGCCGGATGTCAATATTGCGAACATCATGTGCGTAAAAGTGAGATCAGTTAGTCACTATCGCTCAGTAGCCACAGTGACCAAGGAAGACAGAATACTAACAGGGCCTCTGCTCGGCGAAAGTTCTGCGATTCCGTCAACAGCGACATCAAACGCACTCCCTCAGAGTACTATTGTACGTCACAACAAGAAACAGAAGAAACAGAAGAGATGGCTGGAGAAGGCCTAAGTGCAGACACAATGCACTATGAAAGACAGGAAGGACGGCAAGAATGTTTTGGATTTTCACAGTTTCGAATCAAGACATGCGTCTCGAGGTGGTAACATATTCTTAGATGTTGGAATAACACAAATTGACGAGTATTCTCGGATCGACCTTGTGGGTAGTGCTGGAGCAATAACGGATATGCAAAGAAATAGAACAATTCAAGTTCATGTGTGTTGTATCTCGAATCGGGTTGAAGTCGGGATTTAGATTTGAGTTCGTGTGCGGGGCTGGAAAAGAGATGCATGTTATGAAAGAAATGTAATTTAAGACTTTTGATATGCATTGATTCCCAAATGCACATTTCTTTTTGTACGATAGCAATGTGTATCCGTCTAGGATCCCAAAGTTCTATGCGCGCTGAACACTACTGTTCTGCTTTTATGCTGTAGCTTACAAAAATTGCCGTCATTCACAGTAGGGCGAAAACGTAGTCGTATATTGTCATACAACCCCTCTGGGTGACCAAATTACCCATCCTCACCATATTTTGTAACATTCATACACGGCATACATCTCATACCGATCTAAACCATAGTCTGATGCATACACTTCAGCACTTCGAAACAACCGATCCATACCATAGTCTGATGCATACACTTCAGCACCTCGAAACTAAACGTTTACCACGAGATTCTTGTTTATTCTAAGTGTGATGAAACTGCTGACCCCTTGTTCTGGGCTAGTACTAATACGTGACCTGTAAAACGTGACCTGTCACACCCTTAATCGCCCTTTCTTGTCCGCCTCCATCAGCCATGATAGGATTGTTTCATATGAGGTGAATGTAATAACACACGAAGGGATCACCCGGAACAGGTTGGTCGGCAATCCGCGATACAGCGCTCTCACGCCCTCCTCCATTACCACTGTTTTCGCACAATGGAGTATGTTGTTGTATTTGAATGGCGGGACGCTCTGGTTCTGCATGCGGGTACGTACGACCTGTAGTACAGAGAAAAGAGTCAAATATAGCATTGGTGAGTCCAGCGGACTATGTGGACTTAGTATAGAGCCAAGTACACACAAATCAATGCACACGCCACCTACAACCATATCTACCATAGATACGTACGAGATGTAATGCGGAGTATAGAGGGAAGGATAGTAAAGGGGAGGGAGTCCAGCCGACTATGTGGACTTAGTATAGAGCCAAGTACACACAAATCAATACACACGCCACCTACACCCATATCTACCACACATACATACGAGATGTAATGCGGAGTATAGAGGCAAGGAGAGAAAAGGAGAGTCCAGCCGACTATGTGTATTTAGTATAGAGCCAAGTACACACAAATCAATGCACACGCCGCCTAACCAGTGCAGGTAGTACCACATGAACTCAGTGCACGAACGGCATGAAACCTCACAAGAACACACCTCATGTGGAGATTGTTATGCATGTGTTAAAAAATGGTATTTATATATATATATATATATATATAACACATCTCATTGTTATGCATGTTGTCAATATCATATATATATATATAGTAGTATAACTAACCTCCACTTGTTATGCATGTTGTAAAATGGTATACATACATATATATATATATATATATACATATGCAGTTATATATATATATATATACATACATACGTATGCACTTATATATATATATATATCTATATATATATGGTAGTACCAAATGAATTCAACGCGCGGATGGTGTGATAGCTCACGCGAACACACCTCATGTGGATACCAGGCCACGCTGGCAATGGTTTTAGAGGTCGCCGAGGCGAGGATGATGGCTTTGGTGGTGGTATCCGCACGTTCGGAATCTAGCGTAACAATGATAGGAGATAGTTAGTGTGTAATACTAGCAAATGATTAGGGACCCTAATCGATTTAGGTTTCGAATCAAGGTACAAATATGAGGAAGAGGTCCGTTAGGGTATGATATAATAGTAAATAATTAGAGATGCAAATTGATTCAGTTTTCGGATCAAGGTACAATTGAGAGCAAAAAGTCCGATACGGTGTGTAATAATAGCAAATAATTAGGAATCCAAATTGATTTTTTCTAAAATCCTGAAATACGTACCCACGACATTTTCTCAGTCGGATGGTATACGTATACACAAGTGAAGTGGAAATTTGGCGTCGCTGAGTTGTACAAAGATACGCAAATTGTGATAAAACACTAAAAACATAAAACCAAATGTCAACGCGCGGATGGTGTGATAGCTCAATGTGTGCGACATGCACATGCACACGCCACGAGTGACCATCGATCACTTCTGCATCTCATTAGCCCGCCACATACTGCGGAATGCAACATGACCACAACAGTAAAACACTGTGTGTATATGATATGTAGTACTATATTACTACTACAACACACTGCAGTTCACATATGTAATCGCCCATAACCAAACCGTACGGTACATAAATTCAAAATCAGGACAAATCACAGCCGGAAGGAACTTAAGAGTCCAGGGGGCTCAAAAAGTGCTGCGAAGATAGTATACAGTTGGTGGTGCTTATAGCCACCAATCAACACTCAGAACCATAGCTCAACCTCTTGGAACGCCCTACAACCCTCTCAGCCAGACAATCACTATAGAAACTACTACAGCCTACAGCCTTTCGTGAGCTTGATCTTCGATGGTCTGTGCCGTACGAACTGGCTACCAATAAGCACAAAGTCAGCTCTACGCAGCAGCAGTACCCAGCTATGTGGCGTGTATATACATATGTAAACATACACACACACACAAACACACACACACACACACACACACACATATATATATTTTTATGTAAATATGTATATATATATATTAACATATACATACATAGATACATTTATATATATACATATAAAATACAAATATATAAATATATCATTCAATATGTCACTTACAATTACTTGAGAATTTGACTTTAAGTATTTCGTACAGCGGGAACTGGATACCCACATGCACAACTCCCACCAGCGATGCGGCCAGTCCTTTGTATAGTGCTAGTGGACCCTCTCGTTGCATTATGGTGATTAAAGCGTGTACGCTATTCTTATAAAAGTACGGTGTCAAGCCTCTTTGCTGCGTCTGCAGGAGGAATATCCAAAGCGTACATATGAGAAAGCTTAAAGTAGAAGAACTAGGAGCAATTGGTAGCTGGCACGTTCACACGCCCGTCTATTTATGGTGACCACTGCGTGTGCGTTATACTTGTAGTAGAAGTTTGGTGTCTTGCTTCTTTGTTGAGTCTACAGGAGGAGTATCCGGAGCGTACATGTGAGAAAGCTAAACATAGAATACTATACTCCCCTCCAATGTAATTTAACGCAGTCGTTAGCATGTACAGATACACCTCTGCTCGGTTTGTTGACTAATGCGTGTACGCTATTACTGTAACAATAGTATGTCGCGGCAGGGTTGCCGAGTCTGTATAGCGAAAGCCTACGGAGATTGCGGGCTCGTTTCAACTGCAGTGTCTAAGCACCCTACCCACTACACACACGTGGTTATATAAACTCTCAACTCATTTACGCATCCATACCGTCACACACCAACACCACACGCGGACAGAATACTCGACTCTGTGCGAGATTTCTGAGGAGAAGACAGAAACAACAAACACAACCACCACAAACACAACAGCTACCAACACAATAACTACAGACGCAAACATGGTCTGTCTGGTGATATGCCTATACAAACACGTACACCATCGCCACAGCAAAGTGAAGTGAAGAACGAACTATGTGATTAAAACAGCTGTCGAGAGGATGTGGTGGATGACATAGATGATGAGCCTCAAATGTCACTGTAAAGCGCAGAACGCATAGAACGTACGAAGTGTTTGATACACATCTAACCAATACACCACGGCCATCACTACATATAAACATAAGACTGTGTATGTGTACACACATAAGACTATGTGAGGCTATTTGACAGTGCAGCCAGCCACTAAGAAACTGCGACCAGATCTGATGCCACGACTGAAGCTGTACATATATTATTTGACTACTGATACCTAGATATGTACATGCGGTGGTTTTACCCCTAAAACTATAAAACCCTAAAATACAGGTATATACAAGAATGGTTTATAGAAGTATCGTATGCAGGAGAACCAACAAGTCCCATACAATGTCAAACCGTACACTAAAATGTCCCTAACCCAACGATCCCGACATATGCAAACATAAGACCTATGCATATATAAATAAGACATACATAAAAAAGACATCTATATACATGACAAATGTATATATATCTATAAAACTTATGCATATATTAGACATATGTATATATACGTCATATGTATATATACGACATATGTATATTTACGTCATATGTATATATACGACATATGTATATATATGGCATGTGGATACATAGGACATATGTATATAAACGACATATGTGTATATAATATATACGATATAAAGATATATGTATATATACAGCATATGTATATATGATATATATATATACATAGGGCATATGTATATAAACGACATATGTATATATTACATATACGACATACCATTAATCTCGTTTTGATCAGCCACAAGGGCGACGTAACAACGTTTGATGCCACACCCGCCCCTATGGCCGCCATCAGATGCAGTTGCGAACTCTTTGGCGCCAGATCGTAATGAATGCCGATGCGAACCTGTGTATGTATGTACAATAATTTATCCGTATACGTATATATATATATATACGTTTATGTATATGTATATGTATATGTATATATATGCATATGCATTTGCGTATGTATACGTATATATGTACATGTATATGTATATATATATATGTATGCATATATAGATATATATATATTATATATATATATATATATATATATATATACTATATATTATTATATATATATATATATATATATA